ATATATATATATAAAAAATATATATATATAAAAAATTTTTTTTTATTTATAGTATATGGACATTGGGGAAGACATCGGTGTTCCTGAAGAATTCACAAAGGGTGAGATGGTTTCAGGGATGTGGTGGCGGCATTTAGTATCTGGCGGTATAGCGGGTGCTGTATCGCGAACTGGTACCGCGCCCCTTGACCGCATCAAGGTCTATTTGCAGGTAAATTTTATTTGCAAATTATGGATCCTTCTCAGAGATGTTTTTCAATACGTTTGATCAACAAATTTCCCTAAATTTACTATTTTTTGCTATTTAATTTACGAAAATCTATATATAATATTAGTATAGAAATATAATTAATAACTAAAAATTTCTTTAATAATTATTAAAATATTAAATTTTATATATATATATTATTTTTCTGAAATTTTATATTTTATATATATGCATACAGAGAGTATTCTTAATATATTCTTTGGTGTACTTAATATACTGTTCTTAATATACTGTAATTGATTTCTAATATAATCTCTTATAGGTACTAAAAATAATAATGAATTTTATAAGTATATATATACTATTATATCTAATCTTATCTAACTATGTATTGTACAAAAAAACGATTCGCATTTGACGATATGTCAAGCGAGCGAGTAAATTTGTCTAGTTTGCTTTAATACGACGAGAGAATTCGTCCGATCGTCCTTGCAGGTCCACGGCACACGACACTGCAATATCATGAGTTGCTTCAGGTACATGTTGCGTGAGGGTGGCATTAGCAGTCTGTGGCGAGGCAATGGCATTAACGTGCTCAAGATCGGTCCGGAGACAGCACTCAAATTTATGGCATACGAACAAGTGAAACGAGCGATCAAAGCAGATAATGAGACACGCGAGCTCGGACTCTACGAGCGATTCTGTGCCGGTTCTTTAGCCGGTGGCATTAGTCAGTCAGCTATTTATCCTCTCGAGGTATGCAGCTTCGACCTTATAACTTCTCTCATTTCTTATCGCACTTGTTAAATTTTAACGTTTTAAAAGAAAAATGAATAAAAGCATATAACAAATGATTTTGCAGGTGTTGAAGACAAGACTTGCGTTGAGGAAAACGGGTGAATTCGACGGTATGGTCGATGCCGCCAAAAAGATATATAAACAAGGTGGCTTAAGATCCTTCTACAGAGGCTACGTACCTAATTTGATAGGAATACTTCCCTATGCAGGAATTGATCTAGCTGTCTATGAAGTAAGGACTAAAAAATAAATTATTTTGAAGTTTATACATATATATAAATTCTATTGAATGAATATTAATTCTTTACATTCGAAATATTTCAAAGTGCAAATAAATAATCCTATATTTTTATTATATCTGAAATCAAATTTATTCTGATAAAAATTAATTCCCAATTTAATTAACATAAGATGTTTACTATTAAAATTTAAATTCTTTACTGTTTGATTTATCCTCATAATTAAATTTTTTTATTAAACTAAATAAATTCAATAAAATTAATAATAATAAATAGATACGCAAACAAATACAATAATATATATAAATGAAATAAATTTAAAAGGAAATTGAAGTTAGAATAAATAAATGTTATTATTTAATTCAATGCAACTGAATCAATACAGATTCAAAACAAACTTTTAAATGTTATTGTTATATACAATGAAAAATATACTTTGCAGACATTGAAAAATAGTTACCTGCGTACACATGACAAGAAGGAACAACCACCGTTTTGGATTTTACTGTTATGCGGCACCGCGTCGAGTACAGCGGGCCAAGTATGCTCATATCCACTGGCACTCGTACGGACGCGGTTGCAAGCTGAGATCGCGCCAGACCGCTCACTTAACACTATGTTAGGCGTTTTCAAGGATATTCTTAATCGCGAGGGAATACGCGGCTTATATCGCGGCCTCACACCCAATTTCCTCAAGGTATGAGCAATAATAAATAATATCAATTAATGAATAAGGAACAAATTTTTGTTAATATATAAAAATAAGGTCAAAAGATTCCATAAAGTTTGTATTAAAAAATAGTACAAAAATTCAAACAATAACACATTTTTCTACATAATTATCACGTTTTTTAACACATTCCTTTTGCACTTTAGCAAGTTTTTATATTCTCAAACAAAAATATTTTGGTGTAATTTGAAAAACTTAATGATATGAATATGATGTGATAAAGAAATAAATTATTATTTTTTAATAATGATTATTTATTAATACTATAATTTATGATTTTATAATTTAATGATGATTATTACTGATTTAATGATTTATTTTTTATTAATATAGAAGTTTTTTATTCATTCATATAATTATTTTTCATATAATCAGAACGTATATATTTTATTCACTAGAATTAAATATATTTAAATACTATTTAAATTATAAAACATTCTCAATCTGAAAAAAATTAAATTTTTAATTTTTATACGTAATAGAAATAAACATTTTCAATCTATACTAATAAAATTCTTTACAGAAAGATTATAATTATTAAAAAATTTTGTTTATAGGTTGCACCTGCCGTGTCTATTAGCTACGTTGTATATGAGCATTTTCGGCAGGCATTGGGTGTCAATATGACGTGATGAACATGTAGGCTAGGTGATCGATTAATTCAATTAATTAATTTATTCTCTCTTTTTCTCTCTTCTCCGTCCTGCCCCTCCTCTCTTTCTCTC